TTTTTATTTTTTCGCAAATGTTTGCAGTTACCTTTCGAACCCCCCTTGCATTTTCACCACGCAAATAGTAGTTAGAAAAAATAAAGGCTCCTTTTTAAATTGAATGGCAAATATGAAATAAAATTAAATTAAAAAAAATGATGGCACTTATATAACTTTGTTTATAAGCCTTGTAAACATGGCTTTATAAGTAAAACTTAAGTAATCAAAGAAAAAAAAAATACGTAAAAGTTTGTGTAGTGCACAAAGAGCAACCAAAAATTTCCATAGGGAGGAGAAGCTTTGCATTTTATTTTATATATATATAAACTTTCAATTATGAAATTTTACCAAGGTTAATTAGAGGGAGAATTTTAAAATGTTTGAATGTAATTTTCTTAATTTAAAATGAACATATACTCTCCTCCTTCCTCCTCATTCTGCCATAGTGTTGAATACAATTTTAATCAAAAAATTTAGACTTAAAAAGAGAAATCTAAAAATACAATATATAACATTTGAATGATATATATTAATTGAATAATAAATTATTGTCAAAGCGAGCATAGTTCAACAATAATCGAAACATATTACTAACTAATAGGTCGTGAGTTCGATCCTCCACTCCACATGTTGTAATAAAAAAATTGAATAATAAATTATCTCTATAAAGAAATGATGATGCATGATAACGAGGGTTGTATTTGTCATTATTTTAATGAATGATTTAATGGATAAAATTCAATTTAATTTCATATAATTTTAGATTTATTTCATTTGGGTCCATATTTTGAATTTTGGACCTAACAAAAAAAAAAAAAAAGAACCAATCTAATTTTGGTATGTGTGTTAATGTATTTACATTGAATATCTATATGAGCTTTCTCTATTTATTTACTTTTACCAATTACCAGTATTCAAAGCTAGTATTCAAAGCTAGTATCAGGAAGATAATCAATCCCACCCAATATTTGACTAGTCTTGAAAAAGATTTGCAAGACTAGTAATAGATGTTTTCTTTTTTATCTACTAAAGATAAATTTGATTTTTTGAAAAATTCTAAAATTATTTTAAAGTAATTTTTGAAGTATTATAGTTGGTAGGTGATTTTTGATGAGGAGATATTTTTCGGATCGGCAATAAATCGATTCATATATGACAAGGAATGCCAGCTAAATTCCTGAAGTAAAGCAACCCTAATGGCTAATTGTTTGTTCATCAATGTGATGATGGGTCTTCTGGTCAATTCTCCAACATTGTTGCTTTCATGCCCTTCTCTACATTGATGGCAACGACCCTTGGGTAGGGTCGATATAATTTTTAATTTTTAGTTTTTTTTTCCTTATTCTTTATTTATTTTTCTTCATCACATTACTTAACTAAGAGAAATTAGAACTAATTTGAAAAAAAAAAGTTATTTATTAGATATGACGTATGTTATAAGTCCCAATCTCTATTTTAAAGTACAAATAAATACCCTATTTCAACCTCTGTGAAAGAAATAGATTCCTCAGAATAATCTCTCTATTTATTATATAATTTTAGACGATTTTTTCCTAATTTAAATTCATAAAAATTATAACAAGTATAAAGTTATATATATATATATATATATATATATATTGGGATTATTTCGTGTCACGTTGCTATTTTTTTTTTCAACGGACGTGTCACGTTGCTATTAATTCTATACTATATGAGCATCCAAATTTTATGTTGATTTTATTAGAATCTACCATTTTCAAGCATCAACAACATCTGAGCATCCAAATTAACCAGATATTTGTTTTATAAATTATAGGGTATTAGATTCTTAGGACATACAACAAAACATTTTACAATTTTACCCTTCAACAGTCAGTATTTATCTCCCTATTACTCAACCATCAATTTGGTCACATCGCTAAAGTTAATCAAGTTTATATTTAAAATACAAGTAAAAAAAATCTCAGTAAAAGACAAACCAAATTGATAAATAAAATGAAAAATAAAGAATTATACAAATCAAATCAAATCCACAAATAGATGAAATATTCTTCTCTCGCCCGAGTTTAAAATAGATAAACAAAATTTAGAGAGAACGTAAATAGATAATCGTTAATTTAATAATTATTTAGGATTCTGCAACATTGTAATGGCCAAAAAATGAATGGTCCAAAATGGTTGGTTGATTCCACTATAGAGTTACTGAGTTTACAAAAAAGTATGGCTCAACATTTTGCGCCGTGAGAGAGAGAGAGAGATGGTCACATCGATTAAGATTTGGGCACGTGGAAGAGGATATTTTTAAACGGTGAGATTGCGAGTGGTGGTGCTTTGTTGCAGTTGTAAGGATCCAGTACGATCTGCCTTTTTCTGATTCGTATGAGATTCCTTCTCTCTGATGCTGACACGTGTCTTACAGATAATATTAAATCTGATTATTTGTTTTTTCGAAAAATAATTTGGAATGAAGATGAGGTATCTTGAGCATTCATTGGCTGTGGTTCCTCCCGCACAACAGATGGTAAAAGATGCCTCTTTTTTCTTTTATACTAAATAATCGTAACCATTCACTCTTCTCTRAACCAATCATCTTTTTTTCCTTTTTGTTTGGCTTTTATTCTTTAACGTTTTCGTTTCTTGTCCTCAAACTTTATTCAAATTTCGGGTAATAGAATGGATATGATATAAAAATAATAATAAGTTGTGTGACGTCGCACTTTTTTGATGGACTAGAAGTGTAGGCACTAATATATAACTAAATTTATTAATATTCATATGTTCTTTCTTAAAATTAATTGACAATAAGATGAGTAATCCGTTTATTATAAATTTTTGTCAGGTATCTTATATTCTCGATGTAGGATCATTAACATACTCTGATACATTTTTTGGGTTCGCCAATCTTAGTCGAATCTCGACTTTGGACCAGATACTCATTTGAGCGTTTTGAAATAAGTTTAATTTATATATGGATATCTCAACAAAATTTAATTAAAGCTTGAAGATTGAAATCATAAGCCCATATGAATCACATTTGAAAAAGTTTTTTAAATGCAAGTTCATGTAATCCATATAAAGTTTTTGTTGAATACAATATAAAAATTGATGGAAGATTACCAACACAGAACTGTTTGAAAAAATAAGCTAGAAAATAAATTAGAAGTATAATAATTAAGTTAAAAACATTTATTTTAAATTTCAAGATCGTTATTTTAGATATTAATTGAAAAAAATAAAAAAAAATAAAAAGTAATGGGAAAAGTGGGAAACTGTAGAGCTTGAGAATCTGAGAGAGAGCCCCATAATCCGTTGCTGTCTCATTAGCGAATCTCATATGAAAAATGAGTATGTTTTTACACCGTTCATTAAAAATTAATTTATACATACATTAATTATCGAGTATATTCTTCCATTTTCTAAAACCCTCTTTAGTAATACCCAAATTTTAATTTGGATCCTTTTCATTGGTTTTCTGTATAATTGATGACTAAAAAGATTCTCATATTTCATTTTATAGTGCAACCAGACAAAAAAAAAAAAAGGAATAATATGAATGGTTTTAGGAAGGGATTTTTCACCTAGTTTTAGAAAGGGATTTTTGTGGCAGATTTATACTTTCTAAATAAAATATTATTTTAACTAACCCTTCCGTTTTGATCTTGTAATTAAAATTTAAAAATTCTAGTCAACTTTTAATAACCGAAGAAAGTGAACTTGTTTGATGACACATTAATTTTTAATATATTTGAAAATCACTCTTTTTTAACATATAAATTTCAAAGTTTAGACAGGATTTTAAAGACATTTTTAGAAGTAAAAAGGTTAGTAAATAAACATAATTTTAAAAATAGAGAACGAAAAGTAAAATTGTTGTTACAGGCTTGTAATCTTCCAGAATTTCCTTTTGTTTTCAATATTTTTGTTTAGAATTTAAAGGTTTTCATAAAAGTATAAAAAAGAAAAAGGACAAGATAAAAATATTAGGTAATAATTACGCTTAAAATTTTTAAAAATAAAATCATTAATATAAAATAGGTCCAAGTGTATTTTATTTCTTGCAACATAAACTAGGGATCCTTTTTCTCATTTTTCTAATATTCTATTTTAAGGTGGTGGTGGGAGTTGATCAAGACATTATTTACCTTCCTAAAGATTACATATTTGAATCTTTATATCTTTATGAGACAAAAAAAAAAAATATATAAAATACTAATATATCTAAATTTAGTAAATTATCTATTAGCTATATATGATGAATCGTTAGGCTTTGTTTATAATAATACTTTCGGTAGAAAGAAAACCATGATTCTAATCAACATGTCATTTTTTTTTACCACTGGATGCATAGGAGGACTCGAACCTGAATCTTGGATGTCAATACCCAAGTCTCTTGCCACTGCGCCAACACCCGAGAGTATACAAAACATGTCATCTACAAACATGTTTTGGTAGGAGTCCCACCTTCCAAAGACTAAAAGGGTATCTATTAGCATATTAAAAAAATTTATAAAACGTCTAACTATTATAATTTTGCTACGTCATGGAGAAGTCAAATAAAGAATAGCTCTCAAAGGAATAAACACGTCCGAAAATGATTGATTTTAAGAATAGAAAAAATTGGTGCTGGTGATTGGGCGCTGGGATAGCATCTAATCTAGAACATGCTCGTTATCTAAATATGAGGGATCGGAGGCGTGAGAGTGAATAGTTTTTGTTTGTGAAGAGAAGAAGATGAGCAGAAAAATGATTCTGAAAGGATTGGGAAGCAATGGCTCTCCTATTACAACCAAAACCTTTTAAAGCCATTATGGCATGTGTGTTCAAATTTGGGTTTCTTATGACTACAAAGTATTTTGTACCATTGATGCCTGCCCCTTTTTTTTCTTCAAATCAATGGCTCTCACGGCTCAATGTGTGTGGATCGTGGATCCCACTCTCCATTCATTTGGATTTTGATGCACTTGTTCAAATCTTTGAACAAAATTTTGTGAGAGAGAGAGCCTAATGGGAGAACAAACCCTAGAATCTTGGCTGTGGGGTACAATCTCTGCCCATGTCCCTTATGCAAGTACAATATGTTTTGATTATAACACTTTGAGATGTACTTCCCCCCCTAATACTTTCAAATTAAAGGGGTAAAAGTGTCAATTTCTCCCAACTGAGGTCGATCTCGAATGGGATGAAGAATCTCGATTTAAGATATGAAATAAAGTTGGAACGGAACGAATGATTTTGTTTTTCTCAATAGAGTTTGGGACGAAGCGAAAATTTTGAAGATGTGGATTCAGAAATGACCCAACTAGTGGTTATTGTTTACTTATATTTTTTCATCACATATGCATATATAAGAATTACATAAGAATTGTATATTGATATTAAAATATTTAAACTAATAAGGAACGTATTACCTCGAATTAATATCAGTTTATAAAAGAAATCTTTGGTGTTCATCTCTGTCCACTCATAACAAAATTTTTTGTGGAGATAAGATTGTTTTAAGGGCTTCGAGTTATTTTTATCAATTTATCAATATATCAATATAATAATTGAATAAGTCCATGAAACTCACTAGTTTTTAATATTGGAAATAAATCCCAAGAAAAGGGGCAGGCAGAAGATCCTGCATGAAATCAAAAATTTTCTTTTTAAAAGAAAGATGACATGAATATTTAAGATTAACCAATGGGGTAATGTACTAATTTATGACTTTTTATCGTTCATCTTAAAAGTTGAAAAAGAAAAGACTAGTTTTACTCTTTAAAAAAAAAGTATCTACCCTTTGTTCATTCATGTTGAGAGCTTTGATTTTCTGACAATGGTCACATGTCTATGAAATTAATCATTTAAAATTACATTCTCATAAAACAAATGCACTGTAGACTGTATTTGTCAAAAAGACGATGAAATTCCCCTCTGTACATCTCACTATATATCTAGAAAGGAGGGAGAGAGAGATGGGAAGAACATGAAGTGCAGAAGCGCGCATTTAGAAAACCAATAATAACAATAACAATAATAATAATAAAAAGGAAACCCAAATAAACAAAGAAATTGGCAAAGGGGAATGCATTAATTAATATGGCATTAGTTGAACAAGATCCCTTTATTGAATTTAGAAAGGGCTGAGGCTTGATTTGGGGTGGGATAAATTAATATCCATTCCATTATGCTTAAAAATTAAGATGAATATTTATTTTTTCGATAACTCGGGACTCGGACCTTTATCGCCCGTACTCGAGAGCATCCACACTCACCTCAAAATCCAGACCCACTCAAAAGTTCAAATTTAAGACTTCTAAACTAGTGTTAAACCAGAGATCTCAAACCCTTACCAATGGAATTATCTTTTTGAACCAAAAATAAATAGATTAAGATGAATATGAATCTTATACTTATTTAAGTGGGTCCAATTGAAGTTTGAAATTTCGTTGAGTTATTATTATATTGTTTTCCTTCTAAAATTTGTGAAATATTCTTGTTGTTGGGAAAAAAAAACAATATTTTTTTCTTTTTAAGTTTGAATAATATGTAAGGGTGGGTATTGACTCGAAAAAATACGTCTTAACTACAGATATATATTTTAGTTAGTTGATAAGTTAGGTTCAAAATATGTTTTAATTAATTGAAACTATATAGAAATATATTTTAACTAATTGATGAGTTATCGGCATATTAGCAGCAGGCAAGATTAGTTGTGTGGGTGCTTATTTTATAGTTGTGTGTAGGGTGTATTTGTTTTTCTTGAATTAGGGCACATTTTATGAGATTGGACATTCTTTTGATTGTTTGATTTTGTGGTCGGAATTGATTGTTCTTAGTGTTTGGCATATTTGTAATTGATGTGGATTCAGAGGGGGTTTTGGACATTCCTTTAGTTTCATTTTAAGAATTATTTTAATTTAATCACAGCTTGTTGAGGGTTTTTGTTTTCCCTATAACACAATAAATGAGGATGAATACTTTAAAGAAATAAATAGTAACTGCTTAATTTGTTTAGGACAAAAATATGGTATTGGAGCATTTAAACTTATCAACTTATGGAAATGAGTAGATTTATGGATAACACCAAAGCTATTAGATAATCACTCTTTCTGAGTACACAAGTGTTAAACTAAAACACAATATTGTTAACATGTCGACATTTTCATCTTTCTATGAGTTCAACATTAACATAAGGAATAAATCGACATTTCCATAAGTTACGTAAAAAATTAACAATATGGAAAGTATTAATAAAATTTCACTAATATAGACATAATATTAATATTAATCTTTTTTAGGTTATTTAGAAATGGAAACGATTATTTGTTAATTTAAATTTTTTTCGAGATTTTTATTTTTATAACTTTTTGAGAAATATCTATCGACATCGACATCGATATCCTATTGATATTTCGATCGATATCGACATTTAAAATATTGGTTATCCTAAAAAAAATAAAAAAAAGGCATACGATGTGGGATGAGGATTGTAAGTAAGTGGGCAACAAAAGAAAACAAAATAAGACATGAACGTTTCGCCACATCTGGGTGTGGCCATTCCCATGTGCTCCAATAACTTCTATCTCTCTTACATTTTTCTAGTGCTCTCTGTCTCTCTTTCTTTTCTCCTTTGAAAAAGAAAAAAAATAAAAATAAAAATTTAACATTTTATTCTCTCTTTTTTTCTTTTGTGATAAATCTACGTGTTTCCCACTCCACATTTCTACGGCAAAGAAATAAAAGGGATCTTTTTTATTCATTTCTCTCCTCTGCTTTTTCTAACACCCATTTATCTTTGTTGACTAACTTCAGTTATCTAAATTTAATAATAATCCCTTTTTTAAATCTTTCTTATATATTCCTACTGTCACTCCTGCTTCCAAGCAGCAGCTCCCATTTTATATTATTATTATTTTTTTTTTGTCAAAAAATTTGTATGATGTTCGATTTGATCACCTTTTGGAAATTGGGAAGATGAATTAACAATGGATAAATGTCCCACGTTTGAAACTTTTACACAAATTATTCTCAAAGGGGTGAGACATGATGTGATGGTCATTTTTGAGCCGTTAAATATGTAAAGAGTGAGATTTATTTTATTTTATTGTTGACTAAGTTATTAAATTATGGTGGTCTTTTCAATTTTGATCACAATTTCAAGATAAAATCGTTTTAATTATATTAAAATTTAGGTTGGTGTCAATTGAGCCCCCTATAACTGTGGTTATAAAAGTTTCAATTTGGTTCCTATAGTGGAGTTAAAATTCACAAATCACCCTATTCTTACCGTGACAACAATTTATTTTATTTTATCCCGTAGCAATGAGTTGATGTTCTTTACTTCGCTAACTATGTTAGTTTACTATATTAGCATTTTGGGCTAAGTAAAAAGTAGAACAAAACAATGGATTTTTCGTGTAGGTAAAACAAACCTAACAGATGACTTGCAATCAATACAAAACTAAAACTAAGCTCAATTTATAAGGCTAACCAAAATTAAAACTTTTAAAATTATAGGGGCCAAATTGTCAAATTATACGACTAAATTGAAGTTCAAATCAAAGAGACCGTTTTTTTAGTACAACAAATGGGGTAGAAGATTTGAACTCATAACCTCTTAGTATGAGATAGATGCTAATTAGAGCTAAGCTCATGTTGGTCAAAGAGACCAAATTTGTAATTTAATCTTATTAAATTAAGAATATTGGTAGTAATAGTCCCTCTTAGACTATAGAGTATTTTTACAGTAGCCAATTTGAGCATGTAACAACTAACAGTAACATTCTAAAAAACAAAAAGAGTAGCTTGGATGGAAGATGGAACTTACCAATGGGCTAGATTTACAGAGCCCATTATTACAAACGAACCGCCACACATTGGCCCAAAATGAGACAACAGTGGGTTGTGCAGGCCCAACTTGGAATAGAAAGTAAATGATCATAAACTTAGTTTATTGATTAATTTAATGACTTCAAGATAAAAAATTTAGATGCAATAACAGAAACAGTTTTGTAGAGTCTAGTGAGAAACCGAATTAAACCAAATTGTGCAACAGAAGGAAACTACAGAAGTTATTGAAGATTTTGTTGAGAAACCAAAACACAGAGTATTTATTTGTAGAATTTGAAGACGACTTCCATTTTCTTTACAATATTTGCCTTACAAATTGTGGGTGAAGTTTCTATATATGCTAGGAAGATCTATACTTGTTCCATACTTAACAAATTACATAATAAACAAACAAATGTATTAGACCAAAGAATAGTTCATAATCGTAGCCAATCCAGGTTGGCTTCTTCCTCCTGTACTTTCACCTGTCTGGCAAGGCGGGGTGCACCCATTTTCAACCACTCTGCAATTTCTCTATCACACAAAAGCTTCAACTTTTTCAGATTTCGGATTGACAATGGCAACTCTCGAAAGCTCGAGCAGCGCCTCATGTCAAGCTTTTCTAAATGCTGCAACTCGCCAATCTTCTCTGGGAGCTTGGCAAGACCAAGACAGTTAGAGATATCAAGATGGACTAATTCCCGAAGCTTTGTCGTCGACTCGGGCAACTCTTCTAAATGAATGCAGGATCTAAGCCTCAGTTTTTTTAGATTAATCAGCTTTCCAAGATCTTGTGGCAAGGAAGATAATCCATGGCAATTTGTAATGCTCAATTTCTCCAAACTAACAATTTCACACAGCCCATTGGGGACTAAATTCAAATCACTGCAGAAGTTTATGGAAATCTCCAGCAAGCTTGGCAACAAATCCGAGATTTTGGTCGAAAGGTTCATGAAAGTTTGACCAAATTTGCACATAAAGAAGGATATTTTCTGCAGATTGATCAGTGGTTTCGGGTTTGGATTACCTAAAAAAAAAGGAATGGAAGTCCGCTCAAACCTGATTCGTTCAAGACTTGATAGGTAGTTGAGTGGTTGATTATCTTCACTTGTCATCTCAGTTAGAAAAGGTCCAAAATTTGTGATTACCAAAGCTTTTAATTTGTTCATTCTCTTGATGAAGCCAGGCAAGTTGTAAGCTTTTGACAGAAAATTAAGAATCAGAACCTCCACTTCAGGTGCTTCCATGTCAGGCCAACTTGATGAGAATCTCTCATCTGCAACATCCAACATCCCTTTGAGTTTGAAGTTGTGAAGAAAAGGAAAATAGAATATAACAGAGAGAGAGACCTGTGGTTATGGATATGAGGCGCGCATTGGCGGGATGCTTCTCTTGTTCTAACCACCATTTGGGAAGATCGTTTCCATTAATGTCCAAGATCAATCTCTTTCTTTGTTCTATGGGCTCCATATTCATCAAGTGGATACCCAAATCTCTAAGAATATCATGCTGAGTGAAAAAGTAGTCTTCGTAGTAGTCACCATCATATGCATATTTTCTGGTGATAACCCCACATAACAAATCACTTATATCAACAGTGGAAATTTCTTTTCCAGATTTGAGTATGAAGTAATTTGGTTTTCTAGGAAATGTGTGAGAAATATTTACCTCGTCGTAATAGAACTAACTAGACTCCGAGAGGAAAGTTCGTCGAGTGTGACCAATGCTTCAGTTTCATCTTGTTCATACAAGACTCTGCAAATATCAACGAAGGTAGAAGCAGCAATTCTCTTATCTTCAGGAAATGAACCTAAATCCATGAAACTCTCCTTGGTTACTGTCTTATCATCCAAGACATCCAAACTGCTTTGTAGGCATTCAAGAAGTTCTCTCTCAGAATCAAATATAGAGCCACCTCTAGACAAGTTCCTCCCTGTAACTTTCCAAACTGACGTCGGTCTGCGGGAAAGCGACCTTCCGATTACCTTTAGGGCAAGAGGGAGTCTCTTGCATCCTCCAATTATCTGAAATTCAATATCAAAGAAATCTTCAAACTTGCTGTGTAAAAGACACAGTACATATACATCTCATAAGCGAAAAAATGAAAGAGTTGAAAGATCAAGCTGACAAAAATGTTAAAACATAGCTATCAGATTAGAGAAAGATTGCCTTTTCTACAGTTTCTTCATCAGGGAACTTGGAATTTCCCTCCTCCAATGATGCTGAGCGATGAAAAAGCTTTATTGCATTCTCATGGTCCAAAGGTTCCAAATAATAAGACTCACTAAATCTTGGGAAAGAGAACTTTGAAGTGACCAAGATCTTGCAGCCAGGCATTTGGAAAAGCTTATCAAGAAGGTACTCTGATTCCGACCCGTTCCACACATCGTCCAAGACAATCAATACAGGATATTGACTAGTTTGCTTCAGCCATAGTTCTAAATAGCAAAATGCACGTTCATCATTTTGCAAATCAGGAAATTGAATGCCTCTGAGGCTTTCAATTATGTTTTTTAAGATGACCTTCAAGTCTGGTTTTCTTGGAACTGCAACAAACAAGATCTTCTCCTGGAATATATCTATCAAGATGCGAAATTAGAAATCTCCTGTAAGAGATTCGTGGTGGTAATTTGTAAGTTTTATCATGATTTCATTCCCCAAGCTCAACGAACCTTTTTTCAAAAGCATGATTTTGCTTACCTTTGACTTCTTTGTCGTGGCAGAACTTCAAGGCTAGAGTAGTTTTTCCACAGCCCCCAGGAGCTGTAACGACCAACATTTGGACCCCATTTCTGAGAAGTTTCACCTTCAACTCCTTAACTGGCTTCTCCAACCCAACAGTTTCTTCTCGCAATTCAGGAACCAGACATCGCGGCACAACCAAATCCACAGGCTTCCCCGACCCACCTCTGCCATCGTGTCTGCAAATAATCTCCATCATTTGGGTCATCATCTTCAAGTTCCTCTTCTGGTCTCTAGCCATTTGCAACAACAAAACGTCCATAAAGCTTCCAAGCGCAGAATCCAAGTCGCGAAGCTTTTGGGTGAAGAATGGTTTCTTCAGATAATTAAGTTTCCCCAATTTGACATCGCCGCACTGGAGAAGCAGGCGCTTCCCTTCATCCATTAAATCCCTCAATTTCTGAGTTTCTTCTTTTGGGTAATCGAGGAAATCATTGAGCTCATCAATCTGCTTCACCAAAGGGGATATAGCACTGAGCTTGGAAGTGATACCCTTAAGAACAGGATTGAAATTAAGGGCCCTTTCGCCCAAATCCAAGATGGCTTTGAGCAGCTCCCCAACTACAGCGCCCAAAGCAGCTCCGCCCACCAATTCCAGCGCCATTTTTCTTCGTCTGTTTCTAAAACTTTACCAATCTGAATCAGTTTTTGGAGCACTGGGGTTTCATCAAATCAATCTGGTTCTAGTTAGCATAGCTTAAAAGTATACGAAGAATTCGAATCTTGCGGAGCTTTCTGGAAGTGAAATGATTCGTCCAAATTAGAAATTTTCAAATGTTGTGTGGTGGGAAATGGGATCGTTGTCTCCATGTCTTGAAGCTAACCGCGTTGGCAAATGATCAGCAAGCATTTATTCTGTTCTCATTTTCTCTGTTTATGGGTGCAAAGTTTCAGTCTTTCAGAGATTACTGGGACTGAACCGAACCGGTTCGATATCAGTTTTCCATCTAGATCGGATCGTTTCATAATATTTATTTATCAATACAAATATTCTTTCTATGAATTTCTAATTCATAAAATTAAGGTACAGGTCAAACAATATTTAAAACTTTGATGGTGGTCGAAGAAAACTTAAAGGCCCATGCCAAACAATATTTAAAACTTTGATAGTGGTCAAACAAAAATTAGGCCCAAGTCAAACAATATTAAATTTGCACATTTTTTTAATAGTATAAAATTACTAGCTGCATTGTTCAGTATCTCAAATAATTTATCCTCTCCCATCTTCTCCCACATAAAATATCCAACACAACCAAGAATATGCAAATAGGAAGAAAAACAGTAAATACAAGTAAACGACACAGTAAATTATACTTGGTTTACCACTAAGGGCTACGTTCAGTCTTCCACTCAAATGTGAGTAATTCATTAATATTATTATGGATTGGATACAATAACACTCCCTAAAATATCCCCTAGGTCTCAACACAAGCCCCCTAGCTTCTAAATATTTTACACAATTAAGACTTAGGAACATGAATGAAAAACTCACAAAAATCAAGATCTAATTACCCCGAATATGTTGATCTTGATCGATCCCAATGCCCCTGCCAATGTCCGAGCCTTTCCCTTGAAACTACCACGAAACTCTCTGAAAAACGGCTCAAAGACGGCTGGAATAAACCCTAATACGGAAAAATTGCTATTTATAAAGTCGACACAGCGCCATGCAGCTGTCCCCTAGCGCCGCGGTGCTGCCTCCTCGGCCCGAGTGACCTGCAGCACTCCGCTTTAGTGTTTTTCATCCCCGCTTCGACCCCGACGCGTCCCAACTCGATTACAACTCTTTCCTAGCTCGATTAACGTCGTTTTTGACTCCACCAATCCCAATATTTTTCATCTTTATTGCTATTTGTAGCAGCTATATATCTATGTCTGTCTTTTTTGCTCTTTCATGTTTTATTTTTTCCTTAAAAAAAATCCGGAAACTCTTGTGATTAATTTACAAGAATTATATATATTAAAGGATCCACTTTGCTATTGTTGATCAAGTTTGCTTTCTCGGTGTCAATGCTAATTTCCAAACGCGTTTTGGGAAAGAAAACTGTGCTTTCGTTTTCCTTCTTTTTGGGTTTTCCGTTGCAATTAATGAAATACTTGTTTATTAAGTAAAAATTTTTGTATTTATTTCTTGATATATACATTGGTTGATATCACATTTATATTCACATGCATATTTAAAACTTTGGCCTTAACCATTTACTGTGTATTATTTTCAGATTTTCTAGTTGGAAATTTATAAGGGATTTAATTAAGAAATTAAATACTCCTATCTTACCCACCATTACTACAAATTTGATACCTCTTCATCTCTTAGCTGACACAATTTTAATGGTTCTTATACAATGGACTTGCTTATTCTTCAATAATATTTTTAGAAATCAAAATATAATGAAAAATACAAGCCCAGCTAATTTTATTTCGAAAGGGCAAGAAATTCCTGGTATAGTTTTAGATAAATAATAATAATAATAACAACAACTAAAAGTTGCAAGCATGGCAAAAAAAAAAAAAAGAAAAAAGATACAACAAATATATTGTATATCAATGATTGTAATTAATCAATATAAATAGTTTTTTCTTTTCCTAATAATAAGTCATTGTATTATTAGAAAAAAAGATGCCACTAGGGCTACATTGCATCTCAATTAGGTTCAAAAGCCAAGTAAGAAAATTAAAATCAAATTAAACCAATCAGAAATCGAATTCTTGAATTAATTCAGAAAATTCCAAAATTAATGGAACCAGAAATGGAAATCTCCAGTAGAAGGTGATGATACTGATTAGCAATAGAAAAACTAGAAGCAACCAAATAAGATTTGCTTATTGTTTCAATAATCATAGACTTCATCTTCAATTCATAGAACTCACTTTTCATTCATTCAATTGCCTCACTTGCCTTAAAGCTACATGTGGGGACACCCTTCAGGGCAAGGACGTTTATAAAAGATTTTTCTAATATCCCTCCAGAATAAAATATCTTTAAGATACTTCTTAGACAATTAATTCTTATCTAAACGAATTTATTTGTCTAAAAAGACATTTAAGAGAGATAAGATGACTCTCTCGATGATTAGTATTAATGTTCCCGAGTTTCATTCAAAATCAATAGACAATGAGATGAGTAACCCATATTTATTGTAAAGTTTTCTTTTTTATCTCTTCAATGTAGGATAATGTAAATAAGGGTTGGTTTGGTAACGTTTTTGTTTCTTCATTTTTAATTTAAAAAAAGAATTGTATAGCCCCAATATCCCGAATTCAAGTATAATTAGACAATATTTCTATTTGTGTTTTGGAACAAATTAGAAATGGTAACAAGAACTTTGTTTTCAAAATTTCTATACAAAATTTTGAGAATGTTCCTAAAAAATAAGAAATAAGAAACATAATTAGTTGAAAATATTTAGATTTATTTAGAAACCAGAACGTCACGAAACAAGCCCCAGCTAAAATACACAAATCTCCCGTCTGATATTGTGCATGTGGTGTGGTAGACTAGAGCAAGAGGACTGCATTGCAGCGGGGGCATGTGGGTGCTACAGGAAGCTGTTGCAGGCATTTTTTAGCAGCATTGTAGTTCCTGAAGTTGATCAACTCAAATTCTTGGTTATCAACAGAGATCACCTTTATGCATTCACTTGTGGCAGCAACATTCACGGCTTTTAGTTCATGAAATGAGATAATTACCTGCAGTTGATTTCAACACTACAATTAAACATATGCAGTACTTGTACATAATTATATATATAAAATGCAATTAGCTAGGTATCTTGAGGGTTAACTGGTTGAGAGAATTAAATTTATCTAATTCATTAGCTTAAACAACTTTGGAGTTAAAATTTAGGCGTACCTTGATATAGTGTTTGTTTTTGTTGCACGGATGATACAGCCTCTTGGTGCAGAATGCAAACTTGGCTGTAGATACATATACAAAACCCATTACAGCACCAGTTTCCCTTAACATATCACAACGAAACCAATTTTGAAGCTCTTCCCCAGCCACCATATCAAATGTCCGTTGGAAAATCTTCTTATACTGCCTTTCCCCCGTCTCCTTCATCCTCTTTACAATTCTTTCCCCAACACTTTTCTCCTCTGGATTTGTTTCCCCTGATTCTGCCAAAACTAGCTACACATTAACTATAATTACGCTCGGTTGGGTTTGGTTGATGATCGGAAAACAAGATATTAAATGAAAAACACGTTACATGTTGGATATCGGATATGTGTTTGGTAGCAGACTACATATTTATAAATTGAATTTCAATTTAGATAAATTGTGCAGGGTGTTTAATTATATATTTAAAAACTAGTAATATTACCTACTAAACATTTAGTTCAATGTAAAACAATATAATTTATTTATTTATTAACATATATGTTATAAATTTGGTAGAATATTGTTATTTTATAATATTATATAATTTATATTATATTATATTTTATATTTTTTTAATCTTAACGAAAAAAATGAGATCAACCTATAATATGAAATAGTATATTTATTAAAGTTTTTATAATTTCTTTAATGTAATTTTGTATTCTAAAATCTCAAATTCAAAATCTAAAAACATTGAAAATTGTTGTTTTTAAAATTTTCACTACCATTTTAAAAAATAAATCTTCCACACATATTCAGGTAATCTGAAAACAAGTTTTTAGATGAATATGAAAACAAGTTTTTAGATTTCATACCAAAGAGTCACTTAATTTTTTCAATAATTAACAACATTATCGGTGTAAAGGTGTGATTTGTGTTTGACATATTTTTAAATCGCAAGTGCTTAATTTTAATTATAGTACATAGGACTAAAAGGATTCTTTCGAAAATTGGTTAAAATTTTAGTAGGTTAACAGCACATACGATTTAGCATTTTCAATGGTCACAAAAATAATTTGAGAGAGTCTGAAAACATAAATAAATAAAAAAACACTTAAAATTATTCTAAGATGAAATGTCTAGTTTTAGTTGTCTAATTCCAAAAGTAAATTTGGTGATTTAAATTAAAAAAATAAAAATTGAGGATAAAACTGAAATTTCCAAAGACAATTTTTTTTTATTAAATCAAAGACAAAATTAAAACTAGATGATAAATATTTTGTATAATTTTAGTGGGTAGTGTTTTTCCCAGGCACTGATGAATCAAAAGTTTAGTAAATTTTTCTGTTAGCCAACCTTCCTGTGGGTCGCCCTTTGTGTATTCTAGAACCTTCCCCACCAGAGTCTCAGCAAGATTTGGACCTATTTTCCCTGGTTCAACAAATTAATTAATTTGGACCTAATAATTAATTTTCAATAAATATCATACAAACTAAGCACAGCCGAGAATTACGTTAAGAAGACAGTAAATAAAAGCAATACAAAAGACAAAGCTGGCCAAACCGATTTCAAATCTTCATTTAAAAGTATCTCGACTCAATTTCACATTATTGATTTGTTTAAAATACGAAGTGGGTTTCATAATATAACAGGCTATTTCTCCAATTTTCTATTTATAAAGAAGTAAAAATATCACCGACTTGAACTTGTATATAACTCAACTAAGGTAAGATAAATCGTAAGCCAAAATGTATTTGTTAGACGAATTTATGGGAGTTACCACTGATTCTCTTGTCGTGGCAAAACACTAATGGCAGCTTGGTATGTGTTGGTGCAGAGGCATGATGATTGGCGCAACTGTGGCGTCTATGTGTATTGTCCATCGCTTGTTGTTCCCGCAATCGCAAGTCCAAAAGCTCTGTGGCAGTTTTGAGTCGAGCATCCAAGTGGCGAAGCTTTGTGGTGTAAAATGGTGCCTTGAAATACTTGATCAGAATAGTATTCCCTTTAACACCCTCGCACTTGATAATCAGCTGCTTCCCTTGACCCAATAGTTTGCTCAAGTACTTTGTGTTTTTTGGGTCATCAAGGAAGTCACTGATCCCATCCAGCTGCTCCATCACTTTGCCTAAAACCCTCAACCTGAAACGGATGTCCTCAACAACACGTTTGAAATAAATGGCCCCTTCCACCAAACCGATTGCGCCTTTCAGCATCTCCCCTGCTACAGCACCCAAAGCCGCCCCGCCAACGATTTCAGCCATCCAACACACACAAAACTCTCATAAACCGATCGCGCCACAAAAATATCCCTTCTCCTTCTCCTTCTCGTCTCTTGTCTTTGGATCTATGGAGGAGTCCTTTTATTAACGCAATTAAAGGCAAATTCTAAAGGGGTGTGGTGTAACGGGTGGACTTGGTCAATCTCTGAGCTAGACCTTCTTTGTGGGAGGGTCCCAAAGGAATAAATATAGTGACAATAGACTTAGGTTATTTCGAGTGAGTTTTTGGAATAATTAATTACTTTCCGGCACCTTCAAGTTCTTCCAACGAAATTTCGTCATTTCATTCCTCATCTCAGTTATAGTGCAAATTTCATTTTCCTTCGTTGAAAAATTGTGAAGAAATGAGAAATAATACTTTTGAATATTAATATTGGAGAAAATAATAGTTTCAATATTATTAGAGATAATTAATGAAGACCCCATTTGTCCCAATTTGATTTTGATATGTTTCTTCAGTACATTTGACTTAAAACAATATTATTGATTCCGGATGCTAAAGCCAAAGACATATTCAATGTCTAAAGTATAAAAATTACCGATATATCATAGAAGAATTTATCTCTCTCCTGCATAAAAGTCCACACTTTCTAACAGAATTTATTAATTAAGAGCCCACCCAGACCGAAATTTCTTCAAGTTAAATCACGTTTAAACTTTGAACTACTTAATGAGTAATGGACTACAAAAAGTAAGGTGTAAACTAGTTACATTATTCTACTCTTAATTAACACTATCTCATTATCTCTCTTCATTTCATGTGAATTGAAACTTATGACATTTTAAAATTTATATATATATATATATATATATATATATTTTATTTTTATTTTTAAGAAAAAAAGAAATAGGATGGGATGAGACTTAACGTTTAAATTTTTAGTAAGTAAAGATAGAAATGTAAAAAGAGAAGTAACCTTTTTATTAAAAAACGTCTAAAAAACAACTATTCAGACTCATGAGCTTTGGCTCATCTTCCTCTTTTCTTCCCCCATTTTAAGGCTATTTTAGTCTTTTCCATGAGTGGACTTGGACTTAACTTTTCTTTTTTTTTTCTACCCTATTTGCAAATTTTGTTGTTATATTTGTAATGAATTGGACTTGTCTCGCTGTGGAAGCACCCCTATTTTAATATAACAAAAATATAGCAACTAAAAGATAAATGGTAAATATAACAAAAATTAGAGAACACACAAAGCGAGCATAGCTCAACGGTGATTGGCATAATCTCCAACCAAGAGGTTGTGAGTTTGATCCACCACCCCTAATTCTAAGCATTAAGTAGGGGAGACATCATTTCAGTATTATTACAAATAAAGACATTTTTATAATTATTGAGTTTTTTTTTTCTTTTATTGAACATAGAGTAGAGGTGTTTTTTAGTTCAAACGATTACAGTAATGGAAAATCGAACCATACCAATGACTCTTAAAAACGATAATACGTATCTTTATCTACTATATGCTCGACCCGATAGATTGGCAATAAAAAAAGTATGAGATTTAGTCCCTTCAATCTTCATCATGTTTTGACGTTGGATCCCACTGTTTTGGATCATCCACTCCTGAATACTAAACTTGTTTGCTTTCGCCAAATCCTCCATAAAATGTGAGCTGGGTCTTACCAAAATCTTCGCTAGTATTTGTATAAACAGAAAACAAAAGATGAGAAAGATGGGCCAAGAGAAAGCATATTTTTCTACTAATAGATTAAATGCACCAAATACAAGTATTTATAGACCTTTTAACTTTTAAGAGGAGAAGAGAAATGAGTGACTAATTCAAATATAGAAAGACTTGATTTCTTTACCCTTTTAACTTGTTCTTGCATTCATATCAATATCATTTTCACAATATTTCATTTTCTACCCCTAAACCACGTGACCAAGGAGGGCGACAATTTAATTTATTTTTTTTCTTTAAATGTTTTTGTTTTAGTTTTCTTATATTCAATAATTTTTCTACAAATATTTCATCAACATCATTATTTTATCAATACTTGATATTGATATTTAAGATATAAACTTTTGGACTTAATTATGCCACCTGTTTCGATGGTGCATATTTTTGTGATTTTTTTTTTCTTTTACAAAATTAAGATTGGATTTGCAAGCGATTTGATAAGGGTGTTCACAGGTTAATTTGGATTGGATTAGAGAGTTTATCTGGGGTTGGTCAAATAAGAGAATCGATAGACTAATCCAAGATCGATTCATCGGGTCGCTCCTATTTTTCACAATAGCTACAGATTGAGAGATCTGAAAATCTGAGCTTGCATGTTTAAGGTAAAGGAAGATGCATGGCTTTGTTTTATATTGGAATATTTGTAATAAAGAAAAGCGTAATTTTAGAATCAAACAGAGTGATGTGGCCTCTTACAATCTGACAGTTCCTTAAACCTTTATAAAAGGTAAAAGAAATTATCAAATTTTCTATATTTATTTCTTATTTATTAAAAATTTAACGATAATCCACTTTAATCAGTGAGAGTATTATTATTTAATTACGTGGGAATTTGGTCGTCGGTTGGATTGGTGCCATTGGGCGGAGACAAAGAACCAGAGCAGCAAACCGTGTGGGGAACTACTACCAACCAAAAATATGCTCATAACTCATTATTCACTCACCCCGACACGTCACATGTCTCTCAATCCACAAATTAATATTTCTCCCAAAATTTTAAATCAACAGCTAAATTATAGTTTTGGATTTTAGTTTTCATCTTTTAAAACTATATTTTATTTTTTCTATTTCGGCATAACAAACCAGGTTTACAAAGTCAAATTTAATGTCATATTATTATAAATTAACAAAATCCACAAAATTTTTAAAATTTTCATGACCGACCAAAGCTCAACAAAAGTGGGTGGTTTAATTTTCCATTTCTACATTTTTTTAGTACATTCTAGTCTCCATATTTATTGCAGTAAAAAAAAAAGTAATTTTCATAAGTTAATCTAGTGCTACATTATTTTATAACTCATTTTGAAGGGAAGTTCGAGAATAAATTGTCCAATTCTATCGAAAAAAGAAAAAAAAAGGTTCGAAAGCAAAGCATTTTTTCCACATATCTCGCATCACTGTCCATTCTGATTCATGCTTTTCATTTCATCCTCCAGAGAAGAAAATTAAAGACAACGAAAAAGAAAGAGAGAGGGTCAAAAAGGAAAGGAAATGAAGATTAAAGCCATAGCTAACAGCGTAATCAGGGGAAGGTTCTGGTCCAAAAAGAAAATAAAAAAAAAGAGAGAGGGAGAAGAAATAATTTCACTTTCGGGGTTCATTGTTCAATTGCTAATCGAACTCGCTTCCAGTTCAAGCGATTTGCTTTCTCAATCATGAGAAAACGCGTCAACGGCACCGAATACTCGACAAAGTGACAAACTTTACCACATACAATATTGCACCACTGTACAGTTCAATACATTGGATTGGTATTTTCTAAAACCCAATTTGGGTTAAAAAAATTAATATTATCACACCCACTAGTGCTAGAATCTCATAGAGAGGATTGTCGAAGGTGAAGAAGCCATGTCTCTATTTAAGCCCTTCACCCACTCCAGTTGTATTCAATCAGCTTCTAGCTGTTACCTACTAAAGTTAAAAGGGTATTGAAAATTAGCAACAAACACGAACACCCATCTCTTCAACCTATCTCAAAATCCCCTGCATTTTTTCAATCCCTAAGAATCTGATTTAAGGCATCTTTTCTTTGAACTCTGTCTTCTTGAATCTCACCCACATTCTGACTAGAGGGGTTTCTGATGTAGTGCCATTTTGCAGATTCAATGGAGAAACAGGGCAGGCTTCCACTGATTTTTGCAGCTCTCGCTTTTCTGACCCTTTCTTTGGTAAATGCTGATGACCCATATAGGTTTTACACTTGGACAGTTACATATGGGACTATTTCTCCTCTGGGTGTTCCTCAACAGGTTAGTTTACTGCTGTTCCGGCTTCAGATCTAGTGTTGCCAGATTGTTAATGGTGGTTTTGTTTGTTTAAATGCTTCCTGTGTTTGCTTTTTTGAAGGTAATCCTTATAAACGGTCAGTTCCCGGGCCCCAAATTGGAAGTTGTGACCAATGACAATATCATCCTTAATCTTATCAACAAGCTAGATGAGCCTTTCTTGCTTACTTGGTGAGTTCCTTGATTCCATTCCTTTTATAGCATTGTAATTTGAGTTCATAGTTACATTCTGATTTTCTGAGCAACTTGTCAAGCTATATCTGTTATTCTTTCAAACAGTTCAGTAACTTGCTTTGGGCTTCAGTTTTTGCAAGTGTTTGGTAGTGCTTTAAAGTTTGATGTTATATTCTGTAATGTTTGTTGTGTCTTAAGGAATGGGATCAAGCAAAGGAAGAACTCATGGCAAGATGGAGTTCTTGGGACCAACTGCCCCATTCCTCCAAACTCCAATTATACTTATGCCTTCCAAACCAAAGATCAGATTGGATCCTTTGCATACTTCCCTTCCACTCAGTTTCACAAAGCTGCTGGTGGGTTTGGAGCCCTGAATGTCTACCAGCGACCGAGAATTCCGATTCCGTATCCTATTCAAGATGGGGATTTTACTCTACTTATTGGTGATTGGTACAAGAACAGTCACAAGGTAATTTGAATCCTACCATTCTATGCAAGTTCATGTTAATGAAACCAATGAGAATTATAATACTATTGTTGTATAGTCAGTTGAAATGAGCGATTGTGTAGTTTTGAAGATTCGGACATGGTAGTATAATATCGAATGTCTTTGGATCAAATTATAAATTCTAGGATACAAGATCTAAATATGATTTAGTATTATTGACAGAGTTCTTTGAAATGTTAATGTTTATATTTAGGGATGTTAATGTCAGTTTCTTTCAATTTTCAGTCCCTGCAAGAATCTCTAGATGCAGGAAGATCTCTTCCCTTACCTGATGGTGTCCTTATAAATGGCCAAACTCATAGTACCTTCAGTGGTGATCAAGGTTATTTCGGAACACGTTTCTTTCGTTTCGGGAGTTTTACGCTTTCCATTTTTTCCTTTCAACTTTGCAAAGAAACCCAGCACTGACTCCTTCTGCAATTATTTCAGGTAAAACTTACATGTTCAGAATCTCAAATGTGGGATTGTCAACATCTCTTAACTTCAGGATTCAGGGACATAAACTGAAGTTGGTAGAGGTGGAAGGATCTCATACTCTCCAGAATTTATACGACTCTCTTGATGTACATGTCGGTCAATCCTTATCGGTTCTAGTCACCCTAGACCAGGTTCCAAAGGACTACTATATCGTTGCGTCGACACGATTTACAAAAATTGTTCTCACAGCAACAGCAGTGTTACACTATTCAAATTCCCACTCCCCTGTTTCTGGACCTCTGCCTGCTGGTCCTACCATTGAAGTAGACTGGTCAGTGAAGCAAGCCAGAACTTTCAGGTATATCGAAAAGATATTCCGAGATGAGATTTCGTTTTAATCCATATCGACAATGAGACTGATCTTTTTCCATTGTTCTTAATCCTTGATCTCTTGCAGGTGGAACTTAACAGCAAATGCAGCAAGGCCTAATCCTCAGGGTTCGTTCCACTATGGGAAGATAATCCCAACAAAGACGATCGTTTTGGCGACATCCGCTCCTTTAATTAATGGAAAGCAACGCTACGCTATTAACAGGGTCTCATTTGTTAATTCCGATACCCCTCTAAAGCTTGCTGATCACTTCAACATCCCTGGTGTTTTCTCTGTGGATTCCCTCCAGAGCCTTCCCTCTGATGGCCCTGCCTTCGTTGCTACTTCTGTACTGCCAACATCTCTCCACGATTTCGTCGAAATTGTCTTCCAGAACAACGAGAATACCATGCAGTCCTTTCACCTCGACGGTTACGATTTCTGGGTGGTTGGGTAAGTCAATTGTGGTGTAAGCTGTTTCCTGGCTTCTCCATTTTTTAATGTGCAAATCTTGATATCTTACCTCCACTGGCAAAACAAATAGGTACGGCTATGGACAGTGGACTCAAGCCAGCAGAAACTCCTACAACTTAGTCGACGCTCTTACGAGACACACCGCTCAGGTAACCAACTCTCTCGAGGTTGCTGTTTCTGTACACACGACACTACCATTATGCCGCAACAATTCCTGAATCAACTCCTACAATTTAGAAACTGTGTTGAGGTTCTTGTGTGGCTTGTTTTGGTGTTGCAGGTGTATCCTAATTCATGGACAACCATATTGGTGTCTTTGGACAACCAAGGAATGTGGAATTTGAGGTCTGCAATGTGGGAAAGACAGTATCTTGGCCAACAATTCTATCTCAGAGTCTGGACTCAAACTCAGAGCCTTGCCAATGAATATGGCATCCCTTCAAACGCCTTGTTATGCGGTAAGGCCGTGGGGCGACGTTGGTAAATCTCGCATCTCACTGTCTCTTATTTCTTAGTCATGAGAGTTTGACTACATAACATGGGAGGAAGGAGGGAGAGAATGTAGGGGCAAAGAAATAGAATGGATTTACCTTATTCTTTTGATGGGTTGGGAAATTTCACTTGTATTGTTGTTATTTTAAAGTGGCACAATCAAGTCAATGCTGTATCAAATTTCAATTTATAGCTTACAAGAATATGAAGCTATTTGTTCCAAGATCACCCTTTTCTTTTCCTTCTCTAGGAAATGCTTAAGAGGATCAAGTTTGGGTGTAGATAATGTTCCTTTTATAGATTGTTCATTTCACTATTGATTCATATTCAGAAAGTTACTGAACTTTGAAAGGAAAGTTCGAAAATTGGATAATAGGTAAGGGCAATTCCATAAAATTAAGTTATAAATATTTTGGTTAAATTAGCAGTATGGTAGTGTTTAATGGATCTAAACATAAAATTGAAAATTCAAGAATCTACTAGACAGAGACTAAACTTGTAATTTTAAACTAATATTTTTCAAATATAATCTGAGGAAAATGTTGCCAAGATTTGGATGTAAGACATCCTTAACTTTGTTCTGATAGAGTTTCAAGCAATTATGTAGAAGAAAACTCAATAAGTTGTGTCTTGAATGTTCATATCTTCATTTCAATGAGTTTAGGTACCTTAGTGGGCATTAGATACCCATGTAACCATATATATTTTCTTTTAAAATTCAAACTCACTATATTTTGGTCGAAAATGGGTGTTTTAACGAGTTGAATATCCGGAATCACAACCATGTTTTTTATTTGTACATTAATCTATTAGTCTCTTAGTATTACCTATAAAAGTTCTCTTTGAACTTTGTAATGATGTCACAAATCAAGATATCAATAATTTTCTATTTAGTGGATTTGAATTCTCACCATACAATTTTATAATTTATATACCAATAATTTTCTATTATATAGTGGATATGAATTCTCACCGTACAATTTTATAAATTTATATACTTTTAAATACATCTAGCATAATTAAAATTATATATTATGAAAATAGTAGCTAAAGAAATAAGTATAAATGTAACAAAAATAGAACCGATAATCCATTAGAGATTACTATGGTTATACAGTGAATCAATATCTAAATAAATAAATAATATGATACCTAAATTAGTCTTCAATTATATATATAAATATTTTATAAAATACTATTCACTAATATTTTATTTAATGATACCAACAAACAGTTATATTGATTATTCTAAAATTGAAAATTGAAAATTTGGTTTGATATATAGTTTCTATAAATTAACCAATAGTTGTTAATCTTGTTTTAATTATCAGTAATTTATTTAAAAAATAAAATTTTAGAATTTTTCTTTGGTACCAAAACATGGAAGTAAGGATTCGAACTCACGACATTTTAATTGGAGATAAATGTCTTAGTCAATTGAAATAAATTCAATTCGACAAATAAAATTTAGAACCACTTTGTATATGATTGTTCTTAGATATATAATATTTTTTTTTCTCCCTAGATTTGTAAAAATTATTTAAAGGGGTCTATTAAACCACAATAATGATTGTAAAAATTAAAGTTCGAAATTGGCTGCTGAATAGAAAGTTTGACAATATGTATTAACTATTTTAGGACATAATCATTAGGATGCAATATTTGTCATGGCAACCTACATTTGACCATGAGGATCCACATGTATTGGAAGGACCTAGGTTGTCGATTGATGTGCTGATTTTTTTTTTTTTTTTTTTTTTTCGGATTACAAGTGATGCTAATTAAAATAAAGGTGTTTTACTAAAATTAATAAAAACGAAGGTGGTACAGCTTCACCATATTAATCTTGTAAACCAAGTATATATAACATCTATATGAGACTTAAAATTTTGTAAAATAGGCAAAGTCGTTCCAAAATTGTTTTTGCCGATATCATATTCTAGCTAAAGCTAACTGCAATTAGTGTTCGATATATGCCGTTATTGTGACAACTTTGTTGGCTTTTTCTTGGGAATTCGAACCTCGATTATTTGGAGAATATTACATTCTCTYGATCTTAATTGGCTATTGTGAAAACTTATTCTCCATTTGTTAACATTTTCATTTTGCAATTAGTGTTTAGTAATGGTTCAAGTTTCTCTGACATGAGCTTAGTTTATGACATTTATCTCTGACCAAGAGGTCATCAGTTCAAATGGTCTCATCCCAATCGTTGTATTAAAATAATAATAATAATAATAATAATAATAATAATAATAATTATTGTTCAAATTTCTCGTTTCTCGTTTCTTATTTTTTAAGAAACTTTTATAAAATTTCTTTAAGATTGCGTAGAAATTTTAGAAACAGCCAAATCAAGAATGAAGTGTAATGTTTTTTCACTTGGAGAACTAATTGGATTATTGTGAGTAACGAACGGGGTGCTCTAGAAGAAACTACAAAAAGGCAGAACTCTCGTCGCAGTTTGGTGACCTAAGAGACGGGCACCTTTTTTTGTTATCTAAAGGTGAAGAATCTAAAGTGGGCGAACATGGTGGGCTCTGTCATCTAGTTTCTTGTTCCCGTTTGTAATCTCTTTGTCATTCTAAAACAAAAAAAGTTATTTGTCATTCTAAAACACACCATAAATATTTTGATTTAAATAAAATGTAAAATCTTTTAATATTTCATTAAAAATTTATTTTCATATAAAAATTTATTTTTCTTAAATTTAAAATCGTAGAGAACAAGGAAAAAAAAATGATTACCAAATATGTTTTTATTTCTTTTCTCAATAAAAAGAAAAGAATAAAAAAAGTAAGAAATAGTTGTCAAACACAACACAATTTTGTTTTTATTTGTTAAAAAAATGAGAAACGGGAAACAAAAAAAACAAAAAATAAACAACTTTGATAATATTTCCATTTCTTGTTCTCAGTTTCCAAATTTTATTAAGAAAGTTAAGCATTTTGTAACTAATTAGGTTTATTGTTTCTCATTCTTTTGGAAACATTATCAAAATTTTATATAGATTTTGGGAACAACCAGTTAGAATTTCACAAGAGGAAGTTTAGGTATGATGTTTATATTTCACTGTATTATGATGGCACTCAAAGACTCTATTTATACAAAAGTATATCCTAAGTTTAGAAGAAAAAGAATGTAAACTTTAACAAAAATATTGTAACAAAAATGCACAATAATAGATATTCTTGTTTTGACTATGACGTGGTGTGTGGCTTCAACTTCCTTGCTGAAGTTACGTTAACACAACCAAAACAAGTTTTGTGTTCCTTAATTCTGTTTCAAATTTATTACAATATATAAATATAAATATTATTTGATCATTCTCAAATTCATGGATATTGAGCTATACAATTCTATTTTTCTTTAATAAAATGAAAAAACAGAAACAATAAATGGAAACCAGCCAAAACAAACCCAAAAATATTATCAAATGAGCCAAAAAAGCCCTCGATAATTCTCCAGAATCTAAGAAAATGAATTATATAAGGCCCAAAACGAAAACTACGTTCATTGAAAACTATAAAATTTTAAGATGCAATCATTTGACGATTATGTGAATTAAAAGAAAATATTGCAAATCATCATATATGATCAGGATCTAAAAAATAACAAGAGACGTGTGGACAGAGGTAATTGAAATTAATGTTCTGTTTGGTACCTTAGATTTTTTAAGGAATTCAAAATCATGATCCATTTCAAATGAATTTCGTTGTTTCAAATCAGATGATTTTGAATGATTTGAAATCTTACATGAAATCCTATTTTTACTTAAAAAAAAATTTCCAGATCAAAATGGTTGGAATTTGTAGATTTTCATATAAATTATCTATTTAATCTCGTCATATTTTAATTTCTAATTAATAAATTTAGATTGAAAGCCTAATAATTCAATAAAAATTTTATTTTCTTTTTCAATTTTAGTGAACACGAATGAAATCTAATTTAATTCGTTTCAAATCATTCTCGTTCCAAACAAGATAAAGAATTTAAAATAATTTTTCGAATTTCAAATCACGGAATTTAAAATCGAGGATAAAAGTCTATGAAATGAGATATGCGGTAACCACCACTTAATGCGGTGGGACTGGAGGAGACCCAAGATCAAAGTTAATTATATTATTTAGTTGGAATGATTCAAAGAGATGCAAACAAAACCAATATATAATTCAATATATAGTTCATCAGAAAATTTAAATTTCCTTCCAAACTTCTTTGGTAAAAATAGAGTTAATTTATCATACTTGGATTATATCGATATCTTAGTTATAAGAGAATGACAAAGTACTCTTAAACTATGCCACTTTATTTTTAATACATTAAACTAATTAAACCACCCAATAAAAGAGATAATTAATATAGGGTCATTTTTACCAGAACTTTACAAAGAACTTATCTTAGTTAAAGTTCTCACCAATTCAATATTTCTTTCTCCAACTAAAACATTAAAATCCACATATTTATTATTGAAATGAATCTGAACTTAGCTCAACGGTAAGGACACTTTGCTCATTTCTTAGACAGGGAAGGTTCAATCATCCATCCTCACATGAATTTAAAAAAGAAAACACATATTGATTGAAAGTTATAATACAAAGTTATAGATATATTATATCTAGTGTTTCAAGAAAGGTAATTCAACATTTTTTTTGATGTAATTCAACATTTAGTTTCACTAATATTTCATCAATAAATTTGATAGATTACTTACTAAAGGGAGAGGTTCAAATTTAAAAGCTGACACCTCTACCTCATGCATAAGAAGCCTTTGTGAAGAAGTGTAGCTTTCTTATAATATATGTTAATTACGCTGAACTATATTCGCTTTGACAAAATTATTGTATATTTAATAGAAGTTCACCTTGGACTGGACTTCTATTTCTAACCATATGATAGGTCTAACTAATACCATATTATGAAATAAGTGGCATAAAATCTATCTCAAAATGCATGGATCAAAAAATTGATTTATTACATTAATGATCAAAGTTTAAGAACTAAAACAAAACAAGCCTGAAAGTTTAAGAACAAAATAGGAGTATTAAACAAAGCATTATAACACAACTTGAATAATTATTAAAAATCAAAATCAAAATCAAAATGTTTATTAGAGTAATAATTAAAGAATGCATAATCTATATATAGGTAGAAAAAAAGAAAAAAAAACCTGGATATAGAATAGCATATGGGAGCATAGCAAAATATTTAAAAGTAGAAAGTAAATTTGAAAGCAATGAGACTGAGACATAAATAATAATAAAGCAAATCTGAGAGAACAGTAAGAAATCAGAGAAGATGTTGTTGAAAGAAAACACACACATCACAGAGCCAACACTTCTTTATTTCTCAAAAGGCTGCTTTTATCTCTTTTCTTTCACACTCACCATTATATATATAATATATATATTCTCTCCATTTACATTTCTAATTTACAACCCTTCACCACTACCCTTTTGTGTAATTTTTTAATATTCTTAATTGTTTTTCTACAAAAGAGATGTTTTTGAGGAGACCAAGAAAGAATAGATCTCTCTCTCTCTAGATTTTCATTTTTGCAAATCTTGGTTGACTAAATGCTGTATATGAAACACTGGTCTCTCTACACATGTTGAGTTTTGTTTATTGGTTCCTCATTTCTCTATTTTCAGTTAATAGTAGGGGGGGGTGGGGAAATTAAGTGCACAGCTCCCAAGTAAAAACTCAGAATATTACATCAGGGAATAAAATTTAAACCTACACAACTTACAGTAAAAATTTAAGTGGGTAACAAAAAACACCCACTTAGATAAAAATATTTATGTGAGATTAAGAACTTCTTAGTTATAGATCAAATAAAATCTTACAAACTACTCTAATTATCTTGAATTACAGGTCAACATTTAGGGTTTTGTTTCATGTTCCCGGGGAAAATGAGATTTTTTTTTTTCTTGTAAAAGGAAGAAGAATTCGAATTTTGAATGTAAGCTTTTGTGGGTTTGTAAATAAAAGAAATTACAAAAAGGAGGATTTTTTTTTTTAAAGAAAAAAGAAAACGAATGGGGGGAATTACTAGATTCCAAGTAAACATATCATAAATATATAATATCATGTGCATTAAAAGTTGTATAAGCAATATTAATTGCATGAAGTTTAGAAAATTTATTCCCATCATAATGTCTGAGTCTTGGATAGTACATCTTCATCTAGTTAATTTAAATTAAACACACACTGTAATTAATTCCAAAAGAGAAGAAATTAAAAGGAAAAAAAGAAGAAGAAGAAGAAGAAGAAGAAGAAGAAAACACTGATGCTAAATCCAATTCATTCATACACCACAAACCCAAGCAAAAAACACAGTAGAGAGAGAGAGAAAGGGAAAAAAAAGACCAAAAATAAATCCTAAATATGGGAAAGAGAAGAGGAAAATTAAACAGAGTCCTAATTAATTAATTTTTCAAGGATATGATCCATTAGCACTAGCATGAACATCAGACCAAGAAAAAGCTGGGTTCCAGTAACCTGTTTCGCCACCGCCCACCGGAGCCGCCTCCAGAATCGCCGCCGCCGTCGTACCCGCATTATTCGTCACCCCCACCGACGCTGGATGGTCCATGAAGTAATTGGTCGACGACGATCTCAGCTTCTGATACAGCTCTTGAATACCGCCGCCGCCGCCGCCGCAGTGGAGCTGATCGCCACCGCCGTGGCCGTAGCCGTTGTGTTGCTGAACTTGGGTTTGGCTCTGATTGTTCCTCCAGTAAGAGCTACAGAGGCCGAGAGACGGAAGATGGTTCGCCGCCGGATCGAAACTCATCGTTCGGGCATGAAACGGCGTCGTCGCGGCCGGCGGCGGAGGTTCGGTGATGACGTGGGATCCGGGGACGACGGCGGCGAGATTATTAGGGTTAGGGTTTTGGTTTTGGGCGGCGGATCTCAAAATGGCCAAGAGATGAGAATTCTGCGGCGAGCCCCACAGAATTTGCGTGGGCGAGATTAATTCGTGATCGAATAACCCGCCTCCTCCGAACCCGACCCGCCCGATTTCAGACGACAGCGTTTTCATCTTGGCAGCTGCGGATTTCCCAACCGACGCTGCGACGGTGGCGGCGGCGGCAGCACCAGCCTTGTTCTTCCGACAGCCGCCGCCGATGGGCACGTTTCTGAGAGCCCCACCTTTGGTCCAATAACGGCGACACGTCTTGCAGAAATGGCGCGGCTGGGTGAGGTTGTAGTTGTTGTAGTAACAGAATTTGGTGTTGGAGGAATCACATCTTGGGCACCGCAAGTTCTGGCCTTGTTCGGAATTATTATTGTTATTGGAGGAAGTGGTGGAGGTGGTGGCGGCGGTGGTTATGGCGGAGGCGGCGGCGGGTCTTGGGGTGGAGAGGGAAGAATAAGGGGCGGCGGCAGTGGTGGTGGAGGAATCTAGAATTGATCCATTGATGGAGATTTTGGTGTCTCCAGCAGCAGCTATAACACCAAATAGGTCTTGGATCATCGTTTGGATTTTCACAACAATCCAAAAAAGAAAAGAAAACGAAGAAAAAGAAAAGCAAAGATGGAAATAAGTGAGTGAGTCCTTTTAGTTAGTGGGAAAAGAAAAAGAAAGTAGGTTTTGTTGGATCAATGTTTTGATTTGGTGATATATGAGATAGAGAGAGAGAGAGAGAGAGAGAGAGAGAGGAAAAAGAGGGGAATTTGGAGTATGAGGGGGGCTTTTTTGGGAGTGGAAAGAGGGGGAGGGGTTGTTTAATATATAGATATGTACAAAGGGGAAAAAAAGCAACTGTTTTTAGGTTTTTCTTTTTAATAGCAAGTCTATGTTTTAGAATTTGTATTTTGGTACCAACTGATTCTCTTGGGGGGAAAACATGTGCCTTTTCTTTCTTCTTTTTTTCTTTTTCCACTTCTCTTGTTTACTCTTATGCCAATTATTCTACTGCTTTTTCTTACGCTAGTGAATTCTTATGAGTGAGACTCGTTGCTTGGACTCACCAATACGGGAAACTAATTGAGACCTCAAAAATAAGTGGTACCTCAAGGCTTCGAATAGTTGCCACCACTCCATATTAAATAATCATTTTTAAATAAAAAAAAAATCTCTCGAACATATGATACAACATGCCATTATATTATGTTGGTTATGTTATAATTATTTTTTAAGAGATTATAAGATGGAAAAAAATGACTCCAAGCCATCAATATAGCATGCCATTATATATTATGTTCGCGTTATGTTATAATTATTTTTTAAGAGATTATAGATTAGATTAGCAGTAAAAGTGCAACAACTCTTTTTTGAGGTCGAAGGTTCAAACCCTCATATCTCAATTCGAGGTACTAACAAAATAGCTCCAAATACTAATAAAATTAACCTTGGCTAACTTAGAAGGATGAGAATTGTATATATGTGAATATGCAAGCTCATATGCTCGACATGGTTGTTTAGCTCCACATGGTTTTTCACGGCGAGATCAACACTTCAAAAGGCCAACGTTAATTACCTACCTTAGTGTCGAGACAGATAAAAATATTTTAAAAAAATACTACACACATCTGATTGGCATATGGATAGAGCCAGATGTCATTGTCCAAACATTAATAACGACACCTTTCAAACCTTCATACCATACCGACTTACTTGTTTGACTCTACATGAGTACAATTATTTTTATTGACATGAGATCTTTTGAATAAGACAAAAGTAAATTCATCCGTAAATAGAGTCTACCAACACGACACCAAACCAATATTGTGAATAGAATTTTAGTGAAAGTTACAATATACTAAAGTGTGAGATGGAAAAATATGGGTAAAGGGTTAGTGAGGCAGGGTAGGACCCCACAAACTAAAGGCATACCCTCCGGGAGGCCTTCAAGTTTGGCCTTCAACACAACACCCGAAAGCAACCACACCTGCATGCTTTGCAGCACATGATAGTGAATAACTCTAATTATCCTTTTATTTTGATCAAATTCATTTACACGTGTGTGTTCAGTTCCACAATTCCACCACTACATTTTCTTTCTCTCTTTCTCCCACCCTTCCTTTTAAAAAAGAAAAAGAAAACATGATTATTTCACTCATCAATGTTTTCCTTAGTTGGATTTTTGTTACTTTTTAAAAATATTTATTGTTAGGTATACTTGTAGTGGGGTTCAAACTATCTTTTAAAGATAGATAAATTTTATGGCGGTGCTATATATATATATTATACTTGGTGGTCTTTTTATATTGAGTTTTGGTAATTTCGTTCCATGATTTTTGTGGTCGGGTTTTAAGTATTTATTGTTCATTTTGTTTGTAGTTTTTGGGTTTTTAAAAGAAAATTAAGTTAACTATATATATATATATATTGAATAATAAAGGAAATGCACAAAAATGAATTCAAAATGCAATATGTACACAAAAGAGTTGACTACTGTTTAATTGGCTGATTTTTGTTCACATTGACAGAAAAACATTGAAAAAATTACATGAAAACAACAACTCAAACACAATGAATCAAGACATGACAGACATTGATTGATGATTAACCTTTTTTTTTCTTTTTTTTATCCTCTGCATTTCAGAAACTGTTTTACCTAATAATATTCAATGTCAGACAAATTTTGGATCAAAATTAATATGTAACCTTTTCCCACATAAGCCATATAGTTGTGCTAATAAAACTTTTTTATATTTTGTTTGGAAAGCAGAGATATAAATGGAGAAAATTGAATAAAGATGAAAGAGATGCTTGAACTAGAATGAATAATTTCATGTTTGTTTGGAACGGCCTACTTATTGAAAATAACTTGAAAAGATCAAATTTATCTTAAATAATTTATGTTTAAATTCTTTTATTTATATTAATTTAATATTGTTAATGCAAGATTTAGACGATTCAAGCTTTGATGTTCATGTCGAAAATGTTCCAACCTAACTCCTATACACATAATAGATTTGCACACTGACATATAGTACTAAGTCCAAGATACTTCGAGATCTATATTATAAAGACAAAGAATTTTGTTGAGAATAGCAAAAAGTAGAGTCATAAAGAATATCTAAACCTTAGACCTTTCTTCTTATTTATGGAAGAAGTCTTATATTGGGTTGGTTCAGGTTATCTAAACCTTAGACCTTTCTTCTATTTATGGAAGAAGTCTTATATTGGGTTGGTTCAGGTGAACTGATTTGATCAGGTTCAATTTTTGCTTGATATAATTGGGTTGAATTTGATATGGTTGGGTCCAACCCAAATTACGTTGTTTCAATTGGCCTCATGTGAACCTAGTACATAGTTTCACCCCTAGTAAATATAATTTACTATCGAAAGTTATTTATTTTTTCATAATTTAAAAGAAATTTAAAACGTAACTAAATATTAAAACAAATTGCTAAAGCAAACATAGTTGAACGGTAATTGACATATATCTTCAATTAAGAGGGTGTGAGTTCGATATTCCACCACATGTTGTACTAAAAAAAATTATTATGTTAAAAAGGCAAAATTATCGGTTAGAACCAATAGCCAACTTAAATAAGTTCAACCGAATTTTACAAAAAGAAAAAAAAATCATCGAATTGCGTTGGCCAAATCAGTCAAAGTAAAATTGACCTAATGTTTGTCTTTTCTGAGTTTCAAACTTACTGTACAATTCATTGATGATGTACATTTTAATACGTTAAATAGTATATAAATAATTTCTCTTTTGAGTGTTGGAACCAATTTTACGCATTCCTCTATTAATTTTTTATAGGATAATTGTGTGACCTAATTGTCAAATAAACAAGTTATCCTAACGTACTAAATGACCATCATGAGGTTCGAATCCGTCTCCTCTAAATTGTATTAAACAATAAAGTACCCAAAATCTATAATAATCCCTAAATTGCTATAGAAAAGGAAAGTTAGGATTTAAGTTTGAAAATTTATTTTCAAATAAATAAAAAAGTATTTTTAAAATCTACTTGAGATAGCGAGATATATATATATATATACCTCGTTGTTTGAGACATAAAATGAATTATATTTGACAGGCATTTCAAGTTCTATAAATGGTCCAATATACTCATGAAATAAAAACATTAAGTACAAATTGGAACGGTAAAAAAATTTACAAATTCATGATGGTGGTTATGTGTTATGTTGAAGCTTGACATTGACCACTCCTACTTAGAAAAAAACAAACACACAGAATGCGACACATCATCAGTTATTTTAGTCTTATCGTTCCTTCTCTTTTTTTTTTTTTATTCATGAAAATCTTTGTTTTCCACTAATTTAATTGTTGTTTAAGAAGACAATGGACTTTTCCATTACAAGTCAAATTTGTTTGAGAAAAAATAATAAAAAAGGATGAAGCTAAGGGGCCTCCATGTCTGAGATTTGTGGGTGTTATGGTCAATTTCTTGGTTCCAGATTGTTGATTGATAATGATATCAAAGTTCTAAATCCTTATCGCTTAAGTTACACGACAATTTTATTAATTTTGTTTAATTATTGCCTTTATTGACCCTTATGTAATTATCCTTATAAAGTTAATTTGTACTATTATTCTTCATCTCATTGACTTCATTTCCTCTCACTTTCTATTCCCTTTCCCAAATAATTTCATCTTTCATTTCTATACCATTTCTCATTTGATTGTTAACCCAAATATAGATAAAAGAGTAATAAGAAATCATGCATCCATTATATATTTGGGATCTATTCTTTTGTTATCAAGTCAATCTAAAGCGACCCTCGTCAAGGCTTCAATTCATTAAAAAAAAAAATTGTGTTAACAATATCATGTACATAAAATTAAAATTTTAAAGATTGAGGTAGAGGTAAATGTTGAGATCTCAATTTCATGAAAATATCGATAAAATGTCAATGTCGATAAATATTTCTTGAAATACTATAAAAAAAATTTTGGAAAAAAAAATTTAAATTAACGCATAAGTATTTTACCATTTCAAAATAAGTTAAAAATGATTAATATTAATATTATGTTTATATCAGTGACATTTTGTAGATACATTTTATATTTTGTCGATGTTTTGCAATACAATAAAAATGTTGATTTACCACTCAGGTTGATGTTGAACCCATAAAAACATGAACATATTGTTGTGGACAATGATATTCCTCGTACTCCAAGTATCTCCACAATAACGTCCATTTTAAGTATAACCCTCGTGACTTTGCTTTTGATTTTACCTAAAAAATCTCTCATACCAATGAAGATAATTGTCCTCATCTATATATCATGGATCATATACTCCCTTAATCAATGTAAAACTTTATTTGCATTCTCCTTACAAATCTAACAAACATCGATAAAAATGTCCACGCTTCGAAAGTTTAATACCTGCGTAGAATTATGTTCCAAGCCACACAGACGAAATTTGGTATAAAATTTGAAAAAAAAGGTAGAGTAATATATATTATATATTACAATTATAAAATTAAAATTTGAACAAGAATAAAAAGGTAAAAAGAAAGGGAAAGAAAAAAAAGGGTAAAATGTAAATAGTTAAGGAGCTGAGCGCGCGTGCCGTCCGGAGCGGGAGACTTTAAATCAGAGGGTGCCACTGCCCGACTTTATGCGGTGTAGCGGGCAGCGGAAAACGACAAGAGATTTGGATCCTCTGAAGTCTGAAATTCTGATCGGGGTGTCGGGCAGAGGTGGTGGGTCAGTTTGGGCAGTTGGCGTGGGCCCCACCCCTCGATCCTCGGG